AGGGTATACCGCCCTGTTATTTTGCCATCCGTACCCGTGACCAGAAACCAGGGCCCAGTTCCTCTACAAGCTTGCAGGCTGTCATGTCAAGGTCACACGCCGTTACTCTTGGGACGCGCATAGGAGACACGATAAGATAGCGTGAGAATGGACTTGGCGTGGATAGGGACCAATCAATAATTGCCACCCCTCCATCCCCCCTACCAACCCCATTTATGCGTAGCTGATGCTTGCTGTTTTCTCATTTACTCTGACGATGGCTTCTCGAGCCTAAAGCTCAATATAAAACTATCATTCCAGAGATCGCGTCTTCCTCATCTTTAAAAGAAGAAGATTATGATTCGTCATCAGTCAGCCACACCGAACACCAAATGTTGCAGCACACGGGACTTCAACTCACAACCTGCTGGCAACAATGCTAACGCGCTACCCCATTTGCCACGGGTTCGATGCCTTACTGGCCTCTATCTGGAATATTAATAATGGTAGGTGGCCGCCCATCGATCCGTCATGGGACTCACTAGTGCTCCACCAGTGTAGGACTTCTGGCCAATAGGTCGCGGATTCTTACATCGAGTGCCGTAACACTTAGCGTTCTTTGTGAGAGGCTGATGGCGGCTATTATAGAATTGACTATGCGAGTTAGAGGAAGCAGTTCAGAAGAAGGAGAAGAAGCGACCACTGGAACAAGTTTTTTATTGTCCTGACGTTTGGCGAGCTCTTCCGTACGTGAAGGATGTATCGTAAGCGGACAGTCGTTTACTCACCCTACTTGGAGTTGGAGTTGCCCACAGACCACAAGCAAACATCAGGCACAGGGTCATGAGGCCGAAATACCCACTGCCACGGCAGGAGACGGCTGGAGTCGTTTACGGGATCTGGTGCAGTTGTGGACAAAGCAACTACGTCGGAGAAACCAGAAGATAACTCCAGACGCGAATGGCCGAGCGTGCAGTGGCAGTGAGGAAGGAGGACGCAAACTCCCATGTTGTAGCTCACTCGACGGGACCCGGCCATATTTTCAAGTTAAACGAGGCCGAAATCCTCGCAAGAGGTGACAACCGCGTGACCCGCGAGCTTCTCGAGTCATGGTTTTCAGGCCCACAGTCAATTAACAAGCGCAACGGTTTGCCGTTCCCATACTGCGTACTGAGATATTGCCTGAGCAGGAGAATCAGTCACGAGGGAAGAACCGGGCGCAGCAACAACTCTGACGACAGCGGGCATAACTGTCGCCCAATTATCAAGCCCGCATCCGACGCCGACAAGAAAACAATTAAGGAGCCAAGAACTGAATGTTGAAGTCGAATGCAATCTTTGTGAAATGGAGTCTATTGCGTGAATTTTCGAAACTGGCGCACCAGTTCATCGTCAGACGCAGAGAAAACGGAAAGCGCTAAAAACAGTTAACATCGAAAGGACATGGGAAAATCGATACTAGCTTTGCGTGGCGATTGATCCAGTAGGCCGTTGACGTGTACCTTATTTCGTCCGGATTAGTTCGCGTCTCCCCCACTTCTGCTTGGACATGTGTATGAAGAAGACAACTCAATGTGCCTGTTGATGAATAAAGTGTCCCAGTGCAAAGCCTCAAGGAACTCGTGACCTTTTCTGAAAGGGCACACCAAGACGATAGGAGATTTGTCCAACACGAAAGGGGTGCTAGGTGTCCAGAGTATGCAAGGCGAGTTGGGACATGTGTTTTCGTTTTTTTATACAGCCAATTGATGAACGTGAATGCGTGCAAGCCGAATTTTCCGGTCTGGCCACGATAAACGGCAACGCATAATCTGCGTGGCATTTAGTAGACAGCATATTTTATGTCTACATAGTTCATCCTTACCACAGCATGCACAATTTGTATGCGTAAAGTCGTCGATGGTTTATGAGCCACACGGATCTGGTTCTTACTAAGGTGTCTGTCAACGATTAAGACACGTTTTGATATGAGGAAGTAGGCCGTTCTACGTAAGCTCAATCTTCGAATTGACAGATAGTCTGTTCACGCAAAAAACGAATGAATAAAACTGTAAGAGTAGAAATTTGTTTGAAAATAACCGTTTTGTTAAATTTTCGAATACAAATGCTTCAGTATTACGCGCAATCAAACGTATGCCAGTAACAGAATAGCCCATAGGCCTGGACATTTATTCTTACATAGTTTCAGGAAGATTTTCAGTTTGTTTCCCCGTTTTTAAATTGTTGGAGTCAAGGTGGACGAAAGCAGCCAGGTTTTCGCTTGTTTACGCCACCAGAAAAGTCAGAGGTGAAAGATATTTCGTGAGCCCAGGTGCAGACATGCCGGAATTGTCAGGTGAAATCGCAAAGGTACAATTCTGTGCCCACTAAGAGACGTCTCCTCCCGTCACATTCATATTTCCGCATTTAGGTGAGGAAGAGGTTAAGATCGTTCTTGAAAAGGTGGTTAACACTCTAAGATTTGCAGTGAGTTTAGTTGATGTTCCATAAATAAGGATTATGTTCTACGTGTTTTTGCAAACTTTCCAAATATGACATATCTTGAAAGGATTGACCTAAATGATGAGTTTGTGAACAATCTTTCTTAGGCAGCTATCTGCTCAGATAATGGTTTTAGAATCACCCAAAACACGTCGACTCATTGCCGAGAAAATCGAAAAAGCCCAATAAGCCGCGCGAACGAGTAAGCCTACATTAATTAAAAACCTTTTCTAGTAAGTTACTATTTGAAAAAGTGCTTAAATTAAATATACTGGCGTCGGATATTTGTGTACTTTACCCGTTTTTGAAGTTTAAGTCGGGAACAATGGGAAACTTTGAGCAGTTTGCCGACTTCCCCAAAACGTGTGGACACATCTTCTGTTAAAAATGAAAGAACTCACTTTTCTATGTATACCGGAGCAGTTTCCAATATGTGTGTTTACTTTAAGGGTCTGTCCGAAGATACGGAATGCAGAACAGAGTGGCATAATATCAATGACGATTTTTGATAAAATTAGTCATCTTCTGTACGTTCCGTTTCAAGTTTTCCTATTCACTGATTTTGCTCTGTCGATAAAAAGTGATTGAACATATTTCGCATTAGATTTGACAGACAAAATTTACGGCATCTCTCGGTTGCTTGTAGATGTGCTTTTTTTGCGCTCGTTATTTTCGGCATAAAATAGGATTTTCTTAATTATTTTTGATCTTCATTTCCCGACAATAATGCCTAACTATGTACGTGCACTTACCTCAATTTCATTAACGCAAAACAAAATCTTTGTTCACTGAACACATAATTAAAAAGTGTCTGGCTTTTTTTAAAAGTTCCTTTATAGTGCAACACACACAAACAAAAACTCCTGAAGGCCAACATTCATAGCATAAGAAATCCCTTGGATGTTACTCAGCGTTAGATTTGGTCCCATTTCGCCCCCTTTTACCCACAGCATACGGATCTGATATGAACCCTTTTAAAAGAAACAGCAGTTTGCACCTCAACTCTACTTAATGAAGAAAGTAAACAACTTAAAATGTGTGATAAATCCCCCACTCAATTTTTCACCTTAAGCATCTAATCAGATGTACCAGCTACTGTATATATGAATACATTCGGGCAAGATCTAATTGAGACAAATAATATTACGACGACGTGAATGAGTCGCCAGTGAAAAAAAAAACGCAGATGCTTACCATTTTTAAAAGGACGGTATCCATTGAACCTCAACTTTTAAAAGGCCAAAAATGCAGTTACTTAATTAAGCTTTTCAAAAAATGCACGTTGTTTTTAAATAAAATACTTAACTTTGTGTCAAAAAATAACAATATTTGAAGCACTAATATCACTCACCAATGGGGCAGTTTGTCTTGTGTACTACTTTGTGTGACCACAAATGTCTCAGCAATTCTTCAGCAGCTGGTTTCTTGAGCAGCTATAATATGTAGTGAGAGCAACGTTCATAATATATGTAAAGGGTTTTTTTACTTCATATGAATGCCTCACTATTAGCCGTCCCAAGAGAGAATGTGCCGAAGTTAACATCTTTCGAGAACTGTAATTCTGCCTTAATCACTGCTAGTCGGGGCTAAATGTATTAAAAACTCCGGTTCTGCATATTTCTTAGATTATTCACCATTATCTTCTGTTGGTTTTCCCGAGGTCTGTGTGAAGTTGTGTTGCTATAATAAATATATAAGTTTTTATCACTTTGTAGAAAACTGTCTTTTCTATGTAAAAATCATTTGCGAGTCGTCATGGCAACTGTCAAATACAATTTGCTCCTCGAAGAAAATCTGAAGAAAAAGCTTTAGCATATACAGTATGGCGAGTGCTGCAAGAAATATTCCGCAATTTGAAAGAGACCGATAATCAGTCGCAAATCAACATTGAATGGGGTTGCAATACTGTTTATCATGCAGTCCAATTTCAATTATTTTCACTCACGCTAGGATACTGACTCAGTGATAAGCTTCTTTTTGACCCCTAACAAAACGTATGTACTGTAAAACATGGCTACTTAAATAGTGTGCATTTTTATAATAGATTTTGACTGCCTGTAAAAATTCAAATATACTTTATGGAAAGCATGCGCGAAAAAATCCTCGCTTCTATTTATTTGATAGCAAATTACGTCTCCTTTAAATTTTATTCTTAAAGGAAGGGTTTCCTTTGGTTTTAAAAAAGTTCCTAAATTGCCGAATAATTTCGGAAACTACCGACCGCTAGAACTGAATTCAAGTTTTACAATCTGAACGCCGTGTTCATCCTGTTTGAGGAAAAGTGCGTTCTTTCCTTCGGTTTGAGGAAGTGGTTGCATAGCTCTCATATAATTTCGCAATAGACATGGATTATGCTGTACATATCAGGGGTGGCATTAATAAATTGAAGGATACGATGTATTATGAATGAACACCGCACAATTATTTTACAGAATCAACTTTTTTGCTGCGGTCAAAAGGAAGCTAATCACGGAGTCGGCATCCTAGCGTGACTGAAGGGAATTTAAATTGGACTGCATGATAAATAGTATTGCAATTCTACTCAATGTTAATTTGCCAGTGATAACCAGCCTTTTTCAAATTGGGTAATGTCTCTTGCAACACTCGCCATACTGTATATATTATCTTTTTTGTCTCCTCATGGTCCGGTAGACAAACAACATGCTAGCGTATTTAAAAATATTTTGTCCTGATGGCCTATAGTCTTTTCTTCTATGAATTTAAAGCCGACCGCTTCAAATGCATCACCCAAACTGGAATCAATGGAGTTTCGAAGTGTGTCTTTCTCTACCAGGTAGTTTATATTTTTGTGAGGAAAGTTAATCATTCCCGTACTGCCGACTACCGGTACCGACGCATAAAGTTTAAGGCCGATTTATTTGATTTAAGAGTATAGTTTAATCGGACACTTGCTTTCATAAAACTAGGAACCACGTTCCACTGAATGCTATCAACGGTTGTCAAAAGTAAAGGAAAATGACGTTTGCCCTTCCAATTGGATTGCAGACGATAGCAGAACACGATCCTTTAGTCCTCGGCCCGCATTTTGGATTTTCGTTTTCGATTGCATAACGACTAACAAGAAATTATTAGGATTATTTACCGAAAATGCGAAGACATTACAGTCTTAATGCCCACTGCTATAATTTTAAATGCTTTATTTCTTTCCTCTTGAATGGTAGATTAAGCATCAATCTTAATTTTAAGACATATTTTGAGCCTGGTAGACCCTTATTTGATTCTGGACTGGATGTTTAGTTAAGCCCACTTGGAAGTCGACTTTCTATATCACAATTGATCGATGTCATAAATTACAGTAGGCTGCGGGGCTAAATTCAACTATTCATGATACAATTAACAGCACCTGCTGGGACCGCGCAACCCAGATAGTGAGAACGTTGACTGCACTGAATCTCTGCCCTTGTTGTTAAGTTTTCGAGTCGCATAATCGGGTTTCTCCCAAGTGTATCAAGGCAATTATATTATAATAAATGGGAGGAATATTTACACCAGGATTGTAGGAATTTGCAAAGATTTAATTATTAATCTTATCATCT